ATTTTGGTCTAACAAATAATTTTCTTTAAACTAGTCAGATATTAGTTGGATATTCCACACTTGAGCAATCGTTCAATAACAGGTTAAATTTCTGCTGTTGCTACTCCCTCCAAATGTTCATCAGTCAGATGTGTCCTACTTCTTGTTTTCATGTTAGATATTGATGTGAATAGTTGCTCACAGAAACAGGTTTGATACTGCCAAATACTAACAAATCATGTTTTCTGATACCAGGCAAGTATTTTTTGTCAAATGACATAGTATGACAATAAATATACATGGGCCATACAAATTTAATCGGTGAAACACCAGTTGAAAACCCCCGGTCTAAAGGTTATAAGTATCACACCAGATCACTTTATTTCATGTTCCATGATTTTCTGCAGTTTATTATTGCGGTAGGAATGAATGATAAGGGAGTAACTTTAATACAAGAGAATACAATAGAACCAATCTCACAAACACTGCGATCTATAATACAATAATACATTATGCCTTTTCCTAACAATGCAGTGTATTCATTAGCTCTTCTAGTACCTGTGATTGTAGGTTAAAATTTCAGCTTAACATCTCGCTTTTCCGACTGGCGTCCTTCATGGTTTTCTTCAGTATGTCCTGCCAAATTCCTGGATATTGCTTTCAAATCACTCACAACTACTTCCTTTCACATTCCTTCCATTTGATCATTCAAATACGTTATATTTGTTATTATAACAGAAATGGGAAAGCAACTTTAAGTTAATACAGTAACACCTGTTTTCTTTTTCTACATTGGATTGACTATACCCAGGTCAATCTGTGGCCCACCATACCAGATCCCCAAAGACTGGTTCCTGCTTCCCCGTGGAGCCACAGCACAAGGATCCCCCCTTGTTTTATGTAACTGTCCAGTTCTCAACCAAAACTAACCGAACACAACCTAACCTACCTTACACCAACAAAAAAACAATGCAACATAACTTAACCCAACCTTATATAATTCAACTCAACCTAACCCAATATAGCTTTACCCAACCAAATACCAAATCTAATCCAATCAAACCCAATCTGACTTAACCTTTCCATCCATAGCCCAGCATAACCTCGTTATATCACCTAAGAGGGGATCCAAAACTTGATGCTGCATCCCATAAAAAGGTAAAGCTATCCCTGTACAGGCCATGTAGTTGCTTAGGGGAGAGGAGATATAATAGCTCCTCGTCACGCCCTGGGCAAGCTTTATCCGCAGGAAAAGACCATGGTGCTCAGTAGACAGGAGGCCGGATGGCCCCAGAGCACATTTGGACGCATAGGCTCGGGGGAAAATCCTGTCCCTGCCTGGGAAAGAACCCCAGCTGTGGTCGGTCACTGTACTGACTGAGCTACTACGGCCAAACAAAAAGCTAAGGGCGGAGCCCTGAGCAAGTGTAAGACATCGTCCCTTGCTAGGTAATAACATTCCTGCACACGAAACACATTGCTGGAAATGGTAAAGAGCTTTATAACTAAAACAGAAATTGTCTTATGCTAACAGGGTTCTGTCGTGGCGGTCGCCTCGACTATTCTAACTAGGGTCTGTTGCTACTGATGAGAGGGTAAGCTAACCCCCTCCCCCCAAATATAAACAGTAACGAAGGAACCACACTAGGCAAACTAAATTACATAACCGTGATAACGAAGGTAAAAACCATGATGAAGGCAACCAAAGTTGCCGCCAAGATAACGAAGGTAACCAAATTTTAATAACATAATTTATACAGTAATCGTGTTGTAAGTGGCGCTAGTGTAATTTCCTGTTCACATGTCCCTTTGTCCGCCATTCTGTTGTCACCAACTTTACGAACTGAGAAGTATAATTTTCGGGTAGTCCTCAATGGCAGGCCATGTAGACCTGTAACTCAATTTGAAAATGTTGGCCACGCACATATAGTGCTGCCATCTGCAACTAAAGTTAAACTGTGATAAACGCGATCTGATAGTAACAGTCCGTATTAAAACATGGTAACCGACCTCAGTCGGCAACAACGGTAGCTACTATCGAACTCATTCGTCCTTTCCGTCGCCTTCACAGTGCAGGAACAGTTGGTTAATTTTATAAATCTGAAATGACTATCTTCTGAGATACTATATCGTGTGAGCTGCATGGTACGACAGACGTACTATTTGTTGGAATGGTTTACAAGACCATACTCAGATTTGAAGCCATCAAACATTTGAGCATATCTAAAATATTACTTTTTAAACAATTTTCTGGTGGATAAATAACAGAAAGTTGTTTTCAGAAGAAGATAATTGAAATACCGTCCGTAAGATTTCAATAACAATTTACGCGTTTCGAATTTTTCATTATGCTTTCACCGTCTATTTTCTGTGCCAGGATATGCTTCAGTTCGAGAGTCACCAAATTTCTGGACAGCTGTTTAGAATTTCTACGATCCACTGAAATTCATGTTTTATTTTTTAACACACAGTAACAAGCAATGTTACACCGTTTATTGTCCAAATATTTCTTTCACTTGCATAAAGGAGATATGGCCAACAATATAATGACAATTTCTATCAACCACTCAGCCAAGTATCGGGTCTGTACCAAGAAAAATGACGTAGCATATTCTTTTCTTGTTTCACAGTTCTGTCTGTTCTTGTAACATTGCGTGAATGGAAAATAGCCAACCGCTAAAACAACTCTCTCCAGAAACGCAAATATTCCTAAGAGCAGGTACATCACACATTTGGCTAACATCGCAGCTCGCTAGGTGACTCTGCTTTCCTGTCCCACACATCTCTATTATACTGTGCCTCTTCTATACGCGCATGCGTACATCTGACCCACGTTAAGCAAGGGCTCGGTGGATAACAGCACAATCTACCTACCAACCTAACTCGCTGGCAGGAAGTGCGAAGATGCATTTTGTCTGATCGGTTGTCTGTTTCGCAGTGTATGGACTAAACTGTACTCTGCTCAAAAATCTCCTCGTTCAAGGAATAAAACTGGTTTTGAATCACTGCTTGGCTACAAATGGTTTATGAGGCTCAGAATAGAGACCAGTGGCGGGATCTTGTGAGCATGGTAAGGAACCACCGGGTACCTTAAAATGCGGGGAATTTCTTGACAAGCTGAATGACTGTTAACTTCTCAAGCATTCTGCTCCATATCGTTAAACTAAACTACATGCGAAACCCAATAATGCAAGCCATAAGTTACTAAAAATATTTTAAAACGTAATAAACAAGACACACGAGACACTGATAAGCTTGTTAGAGAATGCGTAGGCCAACACACAGAAAAAGAGGATTAGGAAGGTTAGGAAGAGATAAAAAGTTAGCTATTATTCAGCTGCATAGGTCAAGCCAACTGAACCGCCCAGAAAACGAAGACTGACGAATGAGTGTAATGATCTGAGAGTTTTACAAATAATGCTGACGAGTTTGATGGAGGCGGAATGCTGCTTCGGTGTCGATTTTTCTAGTATCTTTGTAAATGTGAAGAATCACTAGCGAAACTGCACGACCTCGCTCTAGTTTTAATCTCGGTAGGGTTACCGGATGTATGTACTCGAGGGTCGCGTTATTTCCGCAACATCGGTTCGAAAAAATCACCAGAAACCTCTACTTTTACGTACACTTTGGCAGCGTAGTAAAAGTACAGAGTAAAACAACAGTGGAAATGTGTAGTTACTTCAGTATACCATAAGCACATTCATTACAAGTTTCTTCAAGTTTGACCAATCGCATCTTTTCAGTTTTGCGCCACGTTTAAAACCTTCGCTAAAACATAATGGCGTCACTGCACCTATTACATCGGATCACCGCAGAGCGTCGCCACTTGTTCGAAGCCTCGGTACGAGGTGCGATCGGAAAGTTTCAAGACTGTGTCAATAGCGGGCGAACCGGATGTAGTACGAGCTTCTGCCGCTAGGGGGTGCGGCCTACATTCATAGTGAATCAATGTGCCAGCCGGCATCATCGAATTAGCATTTGTTTCTTAGTTACGGGCGTTTTGGTAGTGCATTACACCGACCCTCCTGCGATTTCGGAATGGCGGATTTTCATGAACAAATCAAATTTTGCCAAAGACTCGCCAAAACGGCTACGGAAACCTATGA